CAGAGGCTTTAGCCTCGAATTAGTCACCTAGACGCAGGGGAGGGCGAATAATGCCTCGAGTAGTACAGATGTGGTGGCAGGGATCGGGTGAAATACGTGAACCGGGGAGAGGGCAGACGGATCTTACGGGGCAAGAGAGAGACTGTGATAAGAGCTAGGGAAGGAGGCCGGCGTACAATATGGCAGAGTCTGATCAACATTCCCAGCGTGGAGTGCGAAGGGTTGTCATGACTGCCGCTCAAAAGGGGCACAGTGAGGGCGTGATAGGAGGATATAGGAAATGTGAATAGCCCAGGGCAGAAATGGAGATGCCACAATTGTTTAGCACACGCTTGGTCAAAGGAACATGCATACAATGGATGCCGGACAAAGGTGCATTCCTCCAAGTATTTCTACCAAAATGACCAAGTTGTGAAAACAAGGTCAAACAACTTCTATAATTCTGGTTTGTTTCCGCAGAAGGGCAGAAAAGAGGATATGGAATTGCCATGACTGTTTTAGCTTGATAATCATTTACAAGAACCTGGCGCTAATTCCATGCAATAGGCTCCACTATGTTTTGTGTTCGCGACAAAATGATTCGACTGACGAATAGTTCATACAGCTTGGATGAATGGAAAGGCTACGACATTTCAGAGTAGAATAAACTTAGGGATTGAGACAGCCTTCCTATATTTCCCGGTGCCAGTAAGAAATGTTGATGCAACTTTATGGAATAAGCATTTGCGGGGATCACTCGACAACCAGTGCATCAACCTAGCAACCATATATTAGAGTTTACGAAAGAGAGTGTATGGTTGGAAGACGAAATAGTATTAATTTCTTGACTATTTACAGGTGTCAAGGGAAACCGAGATAGTGAAAAACGCTGCCGAGTTAGAGCAGGTTTTCATACCTCCTAAACAATGCATGCAGACAACACGTGAAAGCAACACGTTTACACGCATCAACATGGCAGGATCAGTAATGCAAATGACTTCTGTAAGAAAGTCGCTTTTCAGACACAACGCAGTCCACTTGATATGCTGAAGGCTCAGTCCCATTGTTTTGTAGCCGTTTTGGCTTAACTAAGGCCTTCAGATTTGAGTGAATACGGCCCGATCTTTTGACCATCATGCCACATAGTGAAAGCTGGGAGTCATTCTTGAAAAAGTCAGCACAAAGTCAAGAAGAAGAGCTGAATTCACTATATTTCGTTTAAGGTTGAGACTGGTAGTTGAATTTTCCGACAATGAGATCTTGAGGCATGATAATTCATCCGGCGGCCCATCGTCGCCTTAAACCAAATTTGGCAGATAAGGCTCTTATACGAGATCTAGTGGCAGTCTCGAAGCCTGCTAAGAAGCGAAAACCAAATCGAGAAAACTACTGAGATTTATCCTACATTTAACAAGTGGCCACAACCAAAGGCGGCCACGTGCAAATATAGGTCCGGATGGATATAAAATGGTTTATTTAGTTGTCTACTTAGATTAGAGCGTGCGTTTACAACCGTACGCAATATCCGCCATAATTAAGAGTAATTACAAAAGCCCAACATCAGGTCTGAGTCAGCAAGGCTGAATGAGTCAAGAAAAGCATGATCAAGTTTGCGAAACCCGCACTCTAAATACGAAATTAAGGTCTCCACAACAATGTCCCATCGTATTCATAATAAACGTGAGATCAAACCATCTCTACACAAGAGTGGTGGTTGAATGTTCCCACAATCAGTTGAGTAAGCCTCATGTTTGCAGGCAATTCCACGTGGCCTTGGACCTGGGCAGTGCAGTCTATACTCTCCATACATTGGCATCCCTCCAAAATGCGAGTGCCCTCTGTTGACAGGACAGATGCGGATTTCAAGACGGACAGGCCTTTCTCATACCACATTTCTGTGGTGCACGTATCGATGAAACAAAGCTATATTTGCTACAACAATTAACAGCACTAGTCATTCTTCTTTTGTAAGTAGGTATTTGAGACTACTCGACAATGTCTCTCACCAGCTTAGACGAAAACGGATAAGAGCCACTCTTATGCAAGATGTACCCAATTATGCACAAAGCCAATTCTATGCTCTAATTGTAGCAGCGGTTGGGCAAACTGAGACCCCAACTCTGCGGGGATTCAGTTCGATAATCAGTGCTGAAGCGACCTGCAAATGTCAAATGACTCACCCATGTATCGGTTCTTCGGTAAGTCGTTGTTCCCTGATATGTGTGAAATTCAATGGAAACTTCAGCTCAACTCATATCATTGTGGGAAAATTATTCTTCTACCAGTCCTTCATCACCTTAAACCAAATTGGGTGAATACATATCATATTACTGACTTACTGGTAGTCCGAAAACAATACTTAATTCGAAAAATAAAAGTATAGTAGTCGATTGTTATAGCAGATATACATTTGCTTCATCGACAATCCCACCAAAGAAAGTGATGACAAAAGGCCTGGCTTTCCTTGAAATTCACATTTGCCCTGTGACCCAAAAGGTGCTAGTGGCAGTGTAGCCGACTGGTTAGCGTGTCAAGCTCCCATCCTGCACTGTCGCGGTTCGACTCCCACTGAGCCACTGAGCGTGTTGATAGGATCGATGCGGGGTCGAAAATGTAGTCAACTGGTGTCTGGATAAGAACAACTTTTACGAAAGCAAGGCTATGTGAAATTCAATGGAAACTTCAGACAACTAATATGATTGTGGGGAAATTCTTCTTCTACCAGCCCTTCATCACCTTAAACGAAATTGGGTGAATACATCTCATATTTCTGATTTACTGGTAGTCACGAAAACAATACTTAATGCCAAAGAGTAGTCTCCTCTAGACTGGACCCCAATTTCGACCCCACTTTCGTCGGATTAGCATCCCAGCGGGACTTGGACCTGGGCCGTGCAGTCTATAATCTCGATACATTGGCATCCCTCCAAAATGCGAGTGCCCTCTGCTGACTGGACAGATGTGGATTTCAAGACCACATTTCTCTAGTGCAAGTATCGATGAAACAAATTTATATTTGCTACTACAATAAACAGCACTACTCATTGCTCTTTTCTAAGTAGGTCTTTAAGACTAATCGACAATGGAGGCCATCGTGGTAAATAAAAAAATGCCAGTCTCTCACCAGCTTAGACGAAAACGGATAAAAACCACTCTTATGCAATATGTACCTAATTATGCTCTATTGGTAGCAGCGGTTGGGCAAACTGAGACCCCAACTGTCCGGAGATTCAGTTCGCCAATCACGGCGCTGAACCGACCTGCAAATGCCAAATGACTCACCCACGTTTCGGTGCCTCGGTGGGTCGTTGTGCCCTAATATGTGTGACATTCAATGGAAACGCCAGCTCAACTCATATTATCATTGTGGGAAAATTCTTCTTCTACCAGTCCTTCATCACCTTAGACGAAATTGGGTGAATACATCTCATATTGTTAAGCTTACTTCCATTTCGAGTGGAAGTAAGCTCAACAATTATGAAACAAGAGAGTCCTCTAAACCCGTCTTTTCTTCGTATACATCTCATATTACTGATTTACTGGTAGCCACGAAAACAATATCTAATTCGAAAAATACCGTTTCTTAGTTTCCTGAAATGAAAATATGAGAATAAGTAAGAGGATACGGCACCAAGAAACGATAACCTAAATGTAGGCAGGAAAGAGACTTCACATAATCAATAAACAGCACTACTCATCCTTATTTTGTAAGTAGGCCTTTGAGACTACTCGACAATGCAGGCCATTGTGGTAAATAAAAGTTGCCAGTCTCTCACCGGCTCAGACGAAAACGGATAAAAACCACCTTTATGCAAGATGTACCAAATTATGCTCTGTCGGTAGCAGCGGTTGGGCAAACTGAGACCCCAACTGTCCGGGGATTCAGTTCGCCAATCACGGCGCTGAACCGACCTGCAAATGCCAAATGACTCACCCACGTGTCGGTGCCTCGGTGGGTCGTTGTGCCCTGATAGAAGCGTCGCTGATAGCCCTCGATGAAGCCAACCCAGCTGCGCGAAAACTGAAAACTCGGCTTCCAAATCAACGAACCATAGCCGAAGATGAAGAGTTTTCCCGTCTTTGAGCAGATCATATTCTCGCGTAGATGGTGCATAAATTTGTAGTCGGCCTGAACAGGGCGGTCGCACATGACGCAGGCCGGGACGGCGGCTCGAGTGAGACGGCAGCAGCAGCAGCGCGAGGTGTGAGGCAGGCGGCTGGCCGACTCTTATACTGACGCCGTCGAGAGCGGCGTTCACACACACAATTGAAATGCTCAGTTCTGATTGGGCCAACTGATGGTCATCTTGCTGATTGGCGCAGGCAACAGCCAATCAGATGCTGCAGACACAAGCTTGCCTGAATTTGTTCAACGTGAAGAAAACAAAATGGTGGCTGTTCGTCTGCAGACAAACACGCATTGCTTAATATGCTTTTTGGCAAATGCTGAATACCTGTCCGATTGATCTGCGTCATAAATCTTATTCTCTCTACAATCCAGTCGGCAGAATAGGCGAATATGACGTAATATTGCTTTTACGTGCATACCTTGAAGAATAATGCCTTACGGAGATGATACCTTTTTTCGACGTTGGCGCTCTGAGTGAAATTCGCCGGCCTACGAACGATTCCTCGTCAATAATTGTATTCAGCCTAGTCCGGATCAGGTGATCAAGGCCTGATCGTTGAATCAGGCGAGTTTATAGCTTGTCTGGCTCTCGTCATGCCCCCAAGTGGAATCAAACTTGCCCACTTGTGCGTACAATTTCGACATGATACCACTAATACACACTGCCACAGGCGCCAGCAGATGGCCACGCGACAGACGTGAATTTTAAGGCTGGCCAGGCCTTTTTCCCATCACATTTTTAGCGGGATTGTTGATTAAACAAAATTTCATTTGCCATTACAATCGACTGCACTACTTATATTCCAATTGAGTAGACTC